GCTCTGCTGACGTCCCCCCTGACCCTGGCCTGCTGCCCGATCTCGCTGGGATTAAGTCGGGCCTGTCCCCCTACAGGGGGATTTTCGACGAAAAATAAAAAAAATGACAAAAACAAACAAAAAAACAACAACAAATAGTCGGGGGACTATTTTTTGAATATTTTTGGACCTTCTTGGGGTATTTTTTATTTTTCGTCGAAAACCCCCCTGTAGGGGGACAGGCCCGACTTAAAGCTGGGATCGGTCGCTCTCGTGGCCGTCGCAGAGTCGATCCTGAGAAGTCTCGGCTTCAGGACTCTCGATGCCGAGGAGTCGGCTGGGGAGGATCCCTCCCACGGCCCCCGTCCACGCGGACGCTGCCGAAGCGGCCGCTGAGCAGGCCATCTTGGATCCGCTCGCTACTGCCTCTCAGGACGAGAAAGCGGCTCAGTGGCTGTTCGGTTCCTCGCCTCCCTCCACCTCTCCCCCGCCCCCGCCCCCCTGGCTCCCCTCCCCCTCGCCGACTCCCAGAGAGACCGCACTGCCGCCAACAGGCTGGCCGCGCGCCGCCTCAGGCAGCAGCGCCGCCGCCGCCGCCTGGTGGCGCCGTGGGGCGCCGAGCCCGCGCAGCCTCCCTCTCTCTCTCTCTCTCTCGCTCGGTTGCGCGGGCCTCCCGCGGGGGGGGCCTCGGAGCCTCTCGGAGGCTGCTGCGGTCGCCGATCGCCGAGCTCGGCTCGGGCAGGCCGGCCCCGCCTGCCTCTGTGTCCCCTTGCCTTCTCTCCTCTCGGTTATCCTCGGGAACAGGAGCCCGTGGCGTCCGAGGAGCACGGGGTGAGTCCCCAGGCCCACGTTCGGTGACGACGCCTCGAGAAGGAGCGAGCACCTGGCCGCACGAGGTGGCCCGGGGTGACAGGCCTGCCGGAGCGAGATGGTGGATTCGCGCGCGGCGCACCGTCGACTCTGCAGTAAAGGTTATCTGGGCCAGCGTTCGACCAACACCTCTTGCTGCCCCGTGCAGCTGCAGCGGGCTGTGAGACGGGGCCTGATCAGCCGAGGCCCGCGAAGAGACGCTGGGCCAATGCGAAGGCGAGCGACTTCTGAGTGATCAGCGCAACTGCAAGCCAAGATCCTCCTCCTCGTTCCCCTCCATTTCGGCACAGCCGAGGCTCGCGAAGAGACGCTGTGCCAAGGCGAAGGCGAGCGACTTCTGAGTGATCAGCGCAACTGCAAGCCAAGATCCTCCTCCTCCTTGTTCCCCTCCCTTTCGGCACACAGTGCTGCGATCGCGGGACGCTTTGACGAAGACCGTCGGGGCGCCGTCCACGAGCGTGACTTTCAGCCTGGCAAGGGGGGGCTCGGCCGAGGCTATGGCAAGAGCGAACGTAGCAAGTCTGGAGGGGGGATGGGATGGGGCGGGGAGGAGGGAAGATGGAGGACGGTTTTCGGCTCGGTTCGGCTCTCCATAGAAACATCTGGTAATTGACAGAAGGGGCCCGCCTCTCTCGACGATGAACGACAGCCAGGGGAATACCACCCTCGACGGAGAAGGACGGTGGTGTAGGAGGTAACAAGGAGCGGGATGGAATGCATGTTGGGGGCCAGGAGGCGCTGGAGGGGGGAGGGAACAATGCAAAGCAGCTGCGAGAGAGAGACGCAGCCCTCCGCAGAAGAACACAGCGCCACAAACCTACACTTTTGGTGCTCCGCGCGGATTTCTGGGATCCGCGCCGGACCCCCCCCCCTGGCGCGCGGAGCGCACGGGGCGGCGCCAGAGGCGCCGCCAAAGGGGGGCCCCTGCGCGGATCCGAGATACCCCTGCGCGGAGCGCCACAAGTTGATGTTCGTGGCGTTATCTTTCCCGTCTTGAGCAGGGACCGACCGCCCCGGCACTCCTACAGGCCTACCACGATATTTTCTTAGAACCCAGACATGGTCGAATCACAAAAACAATGTTCTTAGAACATGATGCGCCCGATGTGATAAAACAAGACAGCCCCAGCCGGAAACGTTCTACGAATATTTAGTTGAAACCACAAAAGGTGCTTAGAACATTGTTTGGCAGACCTATAGGCACGCCAGGACGCTTCGCCACTGCTAGATCTTCTTCGAGCAAGAGAGGAGAGACGCAGCCCTCCGGGCGCCGCGGGCAAACGGCCAGCCGCGTGGCCGACCTCCGGGCCCCCGGCTGCCCCAGCCCCCGCCCCGGGGCCCCGATAGGCGCGCCGCCGCGCCGCCGAGCAGGGGGGCCGAGCGGCCGAGAGCAGCGGCGCAGGCCTCCGGCCTGGGCTCGGTGGGGCTCCCGCGCCTACAGGCCCTCCGAGTCTCGAAGGGACGCACGTCTCCGAGGAGGAGGAGGAGGGGATTAGGTGGCCCCCCAGATGCCTAGATGGGGTCGGAGGATCGCACTGCATCGCCGAGACATCGGCGATGCACCGGCGACTCCAGCGTCGAGAAAATCGGGCTCCGCATCGAGCCGCATCGCCGGTGCATGGACGATGCGGCGTGATCCTCCGACCCCACCTGCTCAGAACCCATCTGAGCGGCCTAGAGTGAGGGCCCCCAACCCAGGATGCAGGGCCCGTGGACGTCTGAATGGAATCCGGAGTTGGGCGCCCAAGCCCGCGTTGTGCGTACTTCGCTCGGCGAAATCAGCTGCGTTAGCTGTTCAGGGGATTCACTAGGGGAACAAAAAGTGGCATGAACATAAAAACTCGGAGGTCCGCGCGGATTTCTCGGATCGGCGCTGGACCCCCCTCCCTGGCGCGCGGAGAGCGCCAGGGGCGGCGCCGGAGGCGCCGCCGGGGGGCCCCAGCGCCAATCCAAGAAATCCGCGCGGACCTCCGAGTTTTATGTTTCTGTCACTTTTTGTTCCCCTAGTGAATCCCCTGAACAGCTAACGCAGCTGATTTCGCCGAGCGAAGTACGCACAACGCGGGCTTGGGCGCCGATGCAAGAAATCCGCGCGGACCTCAGAGTTTTTTTGTTTATGCCACTTTTTGCTCCCCTAGTGAATACCCTGAACAGCCAACGCAGCTGATTTCGCCGAGCTCAGTACGCACAGCGCGGGCCTGGGCGCCGATCCGAGAAGTCCGCGCGGAACTCCGAATTTTTATGCTTATGCCACTTGTTGTCCCCCTAGTGACCCCCCTGAACAGCTAACGCAGCCGATTTCGCCGAGCGAAGTACGCACAGCGCGGGCCTGGGCGCCGATCCGAGAAGTCCGCGCGGACCTCCGAGTTTTTATGTCTATGCCACTTTTTGTCCCTCGGCTACGCGCAAGAGTGACCCTGGGTAAGAGTGACCTTTGGTGCGCGGCTTTTGGGGGGCGCGAGGGGGCCAAACCCAAGCGCGCAGGCCGCTGCTGTCGCATCGCGCTCAGCGATCGGGGGGGCCCCGATGAGCCCGCACCAAAGGTCACTCCGGCGAAGGGTCACTCTGACGTGTAGCCGAGTCCCCCCTGTTCACTCATCAGAGCGCCCGCGCGCGCAGCTGGGCGGCCAGGAGGGCGCCGGCGCGGCGCGAGGGGTGCGCGCGGGCGGGGCGCAAAACTGCACACTGGTTACGATGTGTCCTCGCTGAGTCCCCTTGGAAGGATTCTCGACCTTACGATGCAGTAGTCTGTACATGCTCCTCCTCCTCCTCCTCCCCCTCCTCCTCCTCCTCCTCATGTGATTGCCACCCTTCTTCGGAGAGGGGAGGAGAGGAACGAGGCGGAGCATGGCGGATCTGTATGGTCGTCCTCCTCCGACAAACAGTCGAAACACGGGACAGCATGCAGTACAACTATTTTTTTCTGCCGCACCTTACCTCCGCTTTGCGGTCCTGCGGCCTCTCTGGCCCGATGGCGAAGCTCCAGTGGATGCCGCAGAGGAAAACTCCAGGCGACTCCTGTGGCATGCAAGAGTTGCGATCTGTAGGAGCCGCGTCGGGAATCGACGGAGAGTGAGAGTGACAGAGGGAGTGGGCTTTCTGGAACCAAGCTTGACACGTGCCGCGGCGCCTGTCACAGCTCGATGTCCGCAAGCCAAAGCTGCCCGTCCACTGGGGCCACCGAAGGCAGCGGCGCGAGCTCTGGAACCTCCTTCTTCCGCAAGAAGCCGGACCGTGGGCGCGAAGGCGCAGCTCGGCGACCCTCAGCAGCAGTCCCAGCCTCGCCGACGAGGTAGCCTCTGGAGGCGAGCACGGACATGGGCGCCAGGGCGCCTGTGCTCCTGGAGCGTATCGCCGCGTGGTCCTGCGCTCTGAGGAGCTGCTCCTGGAGAGCCGCGATCTGCAACGCCTGCGCCTTCACGAGCCGCTCCTGCTCCGCGGCAGAGGCCCGCTGGCCAGCGCCCCAGGCGACGGCCTCCGGGCCCGCGCCTGGCGACGCGCCCTGCAGCGGCCGCGCAACGGCGCCAGGCGCCACGCCCGCGCCTGACGAGGGCCCCGCCTCCTGCTCTTCGAAGCCGTCGGCCAGCGCACCCTCTGCCGGGCCAGCGGCGCCTCCGGAGGCCTCCGCCGCGGCGCCCGCGGGCGCCCCGGCGCAGGCCGCCGGGGCGCCGCAGGCCTCGGCGGGGAGGCGCAGCAGCTCGCTGAGGGGCCCCAGGAAGCGCCCGGGAGAGGGCCGCCCCTCGGCGCCGCCCAGGCGCCCGCCCGAGGCTGCGCCGCGCGAGCGCGGGCGCCCCGCGGCGCCCGCTGGCGCGGCGCCTGCGGGCGGCCTCCACGGCGCGACGCCTGCGCCGGGCTGGCGCCGCCCGCCGGGGGGGCCGGCGAAGGGCTCTAGGAAGTCCTTGCACTGCGGCAGGGCCGAGAAGTCCTGCAGCAGCTGCTCCAGATCCGCGGCGCTGAGGCCCCCGATCGCCGCCAGTGCCCGGCGGCCTAGCTCGCTCTTGGCGAAGGAGGCGGGCATATACTTCGAAAGCTTCTCCAGCCCTCCTCCCCGATCGCGCCCCGAGCTGTCCATGCCTGCCGCGGCTGCCGGCGTGGTCTTCAGAAGGCGGCTGCCGCGCAGCAGCGCAGACAGGTGAGCGCGACACAGCAGCGCCACCTCCTCTACCAGCTCCCGGCACCCGCCCTGCACGAGTGGCCCGGCGCTCGACTGGCGCTGCTCCCCCTCAGCGCCTTTCAGAAGCTGCCGCTTGAAGGCTGCCAGCCTCGGCCACGTGGCGCTCCGCGAGAGACGCGCCTGCTGGGCGTCGCCCAGCGATGCGCAGATGCGGGCGAGGCGCAGCAGGTACTCCATGAGGACCAGACGGCAGACCTCTCCGGCGCCCAGGTCCCGGAAGGCCTTGTACTGCATGATCTCGAACACACGGCGCGCGCGGGGCTGCCCTCCGCTCGCCGGCGGGCCTCCCTCGGCGCCGCCCGCCTCGCCGCAGGAGGGCATCCTGCCCGAGGCCGCCGCGGAGGCGCTCGGGAGCTGAGCGCCGGCGGGAACGCCCTGGCGTTCCCGAGGCCGCGCGCCAGCGGCGGGTGGCTGGGCGGCGTCGGCCTGCTTCTCCTCCGGCGCGTTCCCCAGAGGCTGCGGCTCGGGCGGCTGCCCGGGTCGCGGCCCGAAGAGCAGCGCGGCGAGCAGCCGGGACAGAGGCGGGCGCCCGTCGGCCGCGGGGCGACCGCGCCTCGGCCTGGCGCCTGCGATCCCCGCGTATCGCGCGGTGCTGGCCCGAGTGGGGTGCAGGCGCAGGAAGTTGCGGCAGCGCCCGGTCTCCTGCAGCGCGTGCGCCAGCCTGTGCAGCTGCGACTCCGCGAGCGACTCCAGCGCCACGGGCCGCAACTCCCCGCCGAGGGCGCCCGCCGCCGCGGCCGCGGCGCCGGCGGCAGTCAGGCCCAGGGCGGCCGGGGCGGTGGCGGGGGGCCTGGCGGGCCGCGGTGGCGGCTGGCTCCGCCGGCCGCGTATCCGCGACAGCTCCATGGCGTGCCGGTCCACCTTGCAGATGCCCACTATGTTGAGGGCCTCGCTGAGCAGCGCGCTCTTGATCTGCCAATCCAGGGGGGACTCGGCCTGCATGCTGGGGCTGAGGTTGACCTCGATCAGCCAGGGCTTGAGGTCCGCGTCCACCAGGACGTCGAACCCGTAGAGCTCGAAGCAGCTGCGGTGGTGCGGACAGGCCTCGCGAGTCCTTGCAGCGATGATGTTCTCCACAGAGAGCAACGTCTTCAGGACGAGATCGTTGATGCGTGTCCACATGAGGTTGACGTCCACACCCGTGCACTCCAGGTGCTTGTTGAGGGCGGACAAGCTCCACTTGTGTCCCACGTTGTCGGCCTCCATCTCCTGATTCTCCATGAAATTGCCCGCCCTCTTGTTGATGGAGTAATTGGTGAGGTGGCGGTAAGGGTCACGGAGGTGCTCCTTTCCCTCCGTGCTGTACGGCGCGGAGGCGAAGCGCGTGAGGCCCTCGCGGAAGATGTAGGCACGGAGGGGCTCGTAGCTCGTCACGAGCACGTACACCCTGAGGTCGAACTTCAGGCCCTGGATGAGGAGCGGGTTCGCGACGTAGCGTGAGACCACGGACCTCTCCTCGAGCGGCAGCTCCCCAATGTCCTGCAGGATGAATATGCCACGCCCGCAGGAGGACGCATGCGGCTTCACAATCCACAGGGCCTCGCTCTGCCAGTATCGCTCGAGAAACTCCTCGCACTGGTCTGGCAGGACGAATGTCTCTGGCACGAAGTCGAAGGCTTCCGAGCCGAATGTCTGGGCCATCTCTTGGAAATTCAGCCACAGCCTGTCCTTCCGCGTGAGCTCTGTGGAACCAGGGAAGTGGTTGACCCGCTGATACTCGTTGAGGTCCTGATACACTGAGTCGTCCATGCCGGGCCCAGACCACTTGAGGGCCCAGTCCCTGTGCCATGTTGGGCTGAACCCGTTGTACAAGAGCGTGTCCTTCACGACCGGCGCGTCGCAATGGGAGATCTGGAAGTAGGCCTGCGGAGCAGTCGGGTCGTACGGCCGGGGGCCCGGGCCGGCCTGGGACCGCGGGGCCGCGAAGGAGCTGGGCGCCTGGTCGAAGTGGTAAATGGGCACGTCCTTCCAGCGGTCGCCGAGCACGGCCAAGACGTCCTTCAGCCGCTCGCTGGCCGACGCACTGTCAGACGCGTCCTCTGCCTCCTCCTCGCCCGAGTCCTCCGCCTCGTCGTAGCCTGGGAGCCGCGGCCAGATGCCCACCTCTCGGGTCGGGCGAAAGGGGGGGATAGCAAAGGGGGGGGTTTGAGAATCAGCTCACGTAGCTGGTTTTCCAGACGCCTCCCAGCGCCGGAGGCGGCTATGTATCGAGGAATGGGCCCCTCGGTGAGGCTGAAACCAGCTGCATGCAGCAACTTTCGTAACCCCCCCTTTCCCAATCCCCCCTGTTCGTCCGGCCCGAACCTCGGGTGCGGGCAAGAGGCTGGCGCGCATGACTCGGGCCGCGGCGGACCATGCGCCCCTCAGGCCCTCGGGGCCCGCGGGCGGCGCGGGCGGGGCGGCCGCGGCGCCATGCGGCCGACCGGAGGCGCCGAGCAGCGGCGGGAAGGGCTCGCGGCTGCTGCAGGGCTCTTGAGCCAGTGCAGCAGAACCAGCTCGAATCATCATCTGGGATGGCACGCGGAAGCAGCGCGTGGTGGCACTGCTAGCAAGCAGGAGCGCTTGGAAGCGAGCACGGGCAACCGGAAATGCATGTGGAACCAAAGCAAATATAGGGGACAGAAAATGACGTTTATGTCACGTTCTGCTCCCCTCAAATGGAAGCATGCGGAGGCAAATGGCAGACGATGGAATGCTTCTTCCCTCGCTGGGACTCCGGTCCGCCCTCGCTTCGCCCTGGGCGGCGCCCCGGCGGCCCGCCAGGGGGCGCCTGAGGTGCCTCTCCCCCCTCCCCCCTGCGACGGCCCCGCGGCGCGGCTCCGAGATGGCCGGAGCCCACCGCCAGGAAGGCCCTGCCCACTGCCGGCACAAAGCCCAAGACAGCCCAGCACCTCTCCGGCGGCCCCGAGCACGTCCACGGGCCGCCCCGAGCGAGCCCCAGGAGAGCTGCCAGCTAAGAGAGGCTCCCGAGAGGCCCCGGCGAGGCCCCGAGGCGAAGCCCCCCCCCACCCCAACCCCCGAGAAGCACCGCGACGACCCTGCAGCGCCACGACCGAGCGACGCCGCGGCACTGCTGCCCAGGCTTGCCTCAGCGCAGTGGCGGACATGCGCGGCCGCGCCGCTTGGGAGCGGGAGAGAAAGGGAGAGGAAGCGCAGGGGGGGAGCAGGGGGTGGGAGCAGGGAAGAGAGGGAGGAGACGAGCGAGCAAGCGAGAGAGGAGAAGAGGCGAGAGGAGAAAAGCAAGTCACATGACATAGAAGAAAAGGCGGAGAGACGAGAGAGCGAGCGAGCGAGAGAGGAGAAGAGGCGAGACGAGAAGAGAGGAGACGAGACGAGAGCAAAAGAGACAGAGAGACAGAGAGAGAGAGAGAGGGAGACCGCAGGACTTTCGTGTGCCGGGGCCACTCGGCGTCGTGCCGAGCGGCCCCCGCGCCTGCGGCCGCCCAGCGGCTGCTGCGGGCGGACGGCACGTGGGCGCAGCGGGCCCTCTCGACGGCACGTCTCGGCAAAGGGGGTGCGCATCGGAGGGGGCGCGGAGCGTTCGCGCGAGCGCGGCGGCGCGCCCGGGGGAGGGGCAGGGAGATGAGGGCGGGCCTTTCCTCAGGAGGCGGCGGGGCCTCTCAGAAGCCCTCCGGCATTCTGAGAAGCCGCCCCCTTCTTCGGGGAGGGCGTGGGCAACTCCTGAGAAGGCCCGCCCCCTCTGACTTCTCGGCCCCCTGGGCTCGCCGCCGGGTGTAGAGACTCAGCTTGGGAAGCGGCGAGGGCGAGGCAGGCACAAGGAAGGGACTCAGAGAGAGGGAGAAACAGAAAGCGAGAGGGAATCAGAGAGAACGGCTTGGCAGAAATGGGCAAGAACAAATCATAGCATATTACACGGCAAGACACACGCCTCGGGAAGAAGTGCGTCAGCTCCCCAGCCAATTCTACACCGACCAAGCCGGCGCCGACGATTACCACCTGAGCGTCAAGCCAACGCCTCTGCCCTGTCAAGCTCAGTCTGCTATTCCTGCTGCTGCTGAGATGTGCGGCTTCTCCTGCTCAACGTGCTCGCACCAAGATGGAACCACGGATGGCAAAACTCACATGTGGAGCACCCGGAGGCCACGCGCTGGAAAAATTCTGGACACCAGTGTATCCAACTCGCACTCATGTGTGTCCAGCTTCCTGGTGTGGATGCATATTGAAAAACGTAGTCAGGGAGTGGATGGTGCAACGCATCATCATCAGCATCCTCGCCTTCATCATCTCCACCATCGTCGTCGCCACCATCAGCGTCGTCATCGTCACCATTGATTCTCTATGCGCGGGGTTGCGTGGGGGCTCGAGCCAAGGGGGTGGCCTCTCGCGGGACGTCCAGAACAGAAGTCCGAAATCCTGCACTCTTTACCGGAAACGCGGACGAAGCGTCAACATCACCCATTTGACTACAAACTACTTGTGTATACAATCGGACTGGCCGATTCAGATGTTGAGGTTAGATATTCTTCAGATGAGATTCGCGCTAGACTCGCACTTGGCTCATATTGGCATCGCTCTTCGTTCACATTCGATGTGCATTGGATTTGCGTGTGGCTCACATTCAATTCACAATGGCCCTCAACATCATCCGAACACCCAATTATTATCCAAGCCTCCTCATGATGAAACGTTACGTAATCATATCTGAATTCCGTGCGAGTGGCTTGCAGTTGGCTGGCATGTTGCTTGTATTGGGGTATGATTTCGTGCCAACGCACAACGATGCAGGCATGTTGTTCGCATTCGGGTATGATTTCATTTCAACGAACAACGGTACAGAACACCACGTTACAAGACAGCCGGTACGTACACGCTCCACTCTTTAACTACATGCGCTTGCACTTACTTCACAACGAATCCACAAGTGCTTCACCACCGCATCCCAATTCTTCCTCTGCAACTTCATAACTTAAACCCATGTGATCCTTTATGGCATAACGCCTGATTCGCAACGAGAGCACGACATACTATACGCAATTAAGTCGCACTTAGCTAACCCTTGATCCAGCGTGGGAACACACCGCATTCCCATCTCTGCGCAACACTTCTACAACCGAGCAAAGAAGCCCAAAATATTTCGCCATGGGCCCACAATCGAGGCGCAGATAATTCAATCGGGCATCAGATCAACTTGTTCAGCCACATGCTCTTCCCTTTTTGCATGCAATCCTTCTCGGGTCTCCAACTCAAACATCGGCGGTGGACAAACCTCCCTTTAGTAAACCTCCCCTTAGTGAAAACGGCCTAAGACCGAAACCGACGGACCTGGACCCACAAAAACGAAGGCCGCGACGCCCTCTCGCAATCCGAAAACGGCCAATTCGTGTCAGGGTAGGAGGTCGATCAACCTCCGAATAATTCAATCGGACATCAGATCAACTTGTTCGGCCACATGCTCTTCTCTTTTTGAATGCGATCCTTCTCGGGTCTCCCGCTCAAACCATTTGCACCTGCAGTGCGGACTGACGTGGTCTTAAGTCGGGCCTGTCCCCCTACAGGGGGATTTTCTACGCAAAAATGAAAACAAAAAAATAGTCGAAAAATAATCCAAAAATAGTCTGGCGACTATTTTTGAAATATGTTTGGGCCTTTTTGGGGCATTTTTTGATTAGTTTGTATTTTTCGTCGAAAATCCCCCTGTAGGGGGACAGGCCCGACATAAACGTGGTCTCATGCTCCGACGGATTCCTGGCCCCAATGACTGGGCGGTCGGCGGCTCCGGTGTGAGCCAGCGTGGGCACTACAGTCAACCTGCACAAGAGGGACGCACGAGAGGGATGCATGGGCCTTGGAGGGCCACATCGAAGCTTTTCGAGCGGGGCGTGGCCAACGAAAGTGGCCAAGGATGGACCGAGGAGGCAAGGATGCAAGGGTACCCTTGGGGAGGTTTCCCATCCTTGCTATGTGGGTTGACTGTACGCCCAGCCCCTTGATGTACAGTCCCATAATTCAGACCAGCTGCGGTAAACGATGAGCAAGCCTTTCGCCATCTCACATCTTTTGGCGCAGGTGAGGCCCGTCGACACTCTCGAACTCGCCCGTTTGCTTCGCAGGCTTGCCGGAGTGGCCTCTCGCCAGGCTTCCTTCAGAGGCATTTCCTGCAGCAGCTCCACCTCGCCTCTGTCGGCTGGTTATTCACCCTCTTTCTTCGCATCCTTTCCTCCTGGCACTGCATGAAGCAGCGTAGAACGCCGCATGCCTCCCTTCCCGAATCGCCAGCTTGTGCTGATTCCGCCCTCTGCCGCGTTCGTATGGTATGTGGACGCCAGAACAATTGAGGCCAACATCAATGCGAATAGCATGAGAACGGAACTCGGCTGTAGTATGGCTGCGGTGGAAGGGGTCATGCAACGCAATGATGTTCACGGGTACCATACTGAATCGCGTAGCTGCGACAGGCAGTGCATTCACCATTAAAAGCGCAATGTTTGAAATGCTGCAGGACCCCGTGAGAAACTTGTCTCTCATCGACGGCACATCGGGTCCGAGTGGCGGTAAAGCAACGCTGAGGCGCAGGCGAAGCGAATTGAGGCGCAAAGGTAAGGGGAGGACGGAGGACGGGAGAAGAGGTGGAGCGCGGCGGGAAGGCCGTCAAAACGCGAAGTTCTCTGGGATGCGCCCCGGGGCGTGTCGTACGCGACATGCAGCCGAGAGGGGCGCATCCAGGTACAAACGGGGTGTACAGTTCAGCAGTGTCCAGGGGACAAATCCGTTGGAGCGAAGCCACGAAGCCAGGGAACCAAGCAGTGCTCACGAACAGCCAGGCGAGGGTGTCCCAGGGATTACACAGGCGGCCAGGGATTCGTCACTGTGCGTGGGCTAGTCGCCACCATCGGTGAATATGCGTCGACGTGTTCAGGCCCTCTTCGCACGTGGGAACCCCTACAATATCATATAATCGCTGTCGCACTCGTCATCACATTGTGTCATTACCATTGCCATCTTCATCCCCATCATCACCCTCATCACCATCGCAACCATCATTCCTAGCAGCTACACCAGTGTCACAACTAGGGCCACCATCGCATCACCACCGCTGCGAATACCTCCCGAGCCACAACCACCACCACGAGCGCCAGACCTGCCACCCCCAACAGCATTGCCACCCTCGCTGCTTGCAAGAGGGCATCTGTGAGTGCTGCGGTCCGGGAGCTGGCCTGACGTCCCAAGCTTGTGACATGGCTGCCCACCTCATCTGCAGGGAGACGCCCGGTCGCCTCACGAGACACGAGTGGGCGTGAGCCCCAGGGGCGCACAGCCCACGAGCACTGGCTGTCCCGCGCCGATGGGCCTCCCCGCAGCACGACCTGTAGACGAGCAGCGGGGGAGGCAGACAGGTCGGACCGAGGCGGGGGAGCACGAGGAGGGACGGGAGCGAGATCGGCCCGCGGGAGGGAGGTCCGAGGTCATAATAAACTTCAGTCGGGCGTGTCCCCCTACAGGGGGATTTTCGACGAAA